ACCTACAGTTCTGCCCACTTGCGCTGCCCCTCTGGCCTCATACAGCCCTTCACAGAAATTTGGTTTTTTGTTGGAATGTGCATGTTCTTCACCCTAGGTATTTACAGGGGCCATGCCTTCATACATATTTCTGCCCCAAAATGTTGCTTCTCAGAGAGTTCTTCCCTGACTCTACTATTTTAAATACTCTCTTATTATATTTGTCATCTATTGTTTGCCCCACCTACTAGAATGTGAGTTTCATTAAAGCAGGAAATATATATATCACATCTTGGCTTCTTTAACCATTCATCTATCAATGGACACTTGGGCTGCTTCCATATCTTGGCTATTGTAAAGAATGCTGCAGTAAACATAGGGATGCACACGTCTTTCTGATTTAGTGTTTTTATTTTCTTTGGGTAAATACAGAGTAGTGGAATTACTGGATCATATGGCAATTCAATTTTTAACTTTTTGAGGAACCTCCATGCTGTTTTCCACACTGGCTGCACCAATTTACATTCCCACCAACAGAGCACAAGGTCCTTTTCTCCCCATCCTCACCAACACCTGTTGATTTTTTACTTTCTTATTTAAGCCATTCTGACAGGTGTGAGGTGAGAGCTCATTGTGGTTTTGATTTGCATTTCCCTCATGATAAGTGATGTTGAGCATCTTTTCATGTGTCTGTTGGTCATCTGCATATCTTCTTTGGAAAAATGTCTACTCATGTTTTTTGCCCATTTTTTTCATTGGATTATTTGTGGGGTTTTTTTGGTGTTAAGTTGTATCAGTTCTATGTTTTAGATATTAACCCCTTATTGGATGTATCAATTGCAAATATCTGTTCCCATTTGGTAAATTGCCTTTTTGTTTTGTTGATGATTCCCTTCACTGTGCCAAATTTTTATTTTGGTGTAGTCCCAGTAGTTTAATTTTGCCTTTGTTTCCCTTGCCTCAGGAGATACGTGTAGCAAAATGTTTCTATGACCAATGTCAAAGAAATTACTGCCTATGTTTCCTTCTAGGAGTTTTATGGTTCCAGGTCTTTAATCCATTTTGAGTTTATTTTTGTGTATGGTCTAAGAAAATGGTCCAATTTCATTCTTTTGCATGTGGCTGTCCAGTTTTCTCAACACCTTTTGTTGAAGAGACTGTCTTTTCCCATTGCATATTCTTGCCTCCTTTGTTGTAGATTAATTGACCATATGAGCATGGATTTATTTCTGGATTCTATTGTGTTCTACTGACCTATGTGTCTATTTTTGTGCTAATACCATACTGTTTTGATTACTACAGCTTTGTAACATATCTTGAAACCTGGGATTGTGATGCCTCCAGTTTTGTTCTTCTTTTTCAAGATTGTTTTGGATATTTGGGTCTTTTGTGGTTCCATACACATTTTAGGATTACTTGTTCTAGTTCTATGAAAAATGCTGTTGGTATTTTATTTTTTTTTTATTTTTTATTTTTTTAAAGATTTTATCTATCCATCTGAGAGAGAGAGAGAGCACATGAGAGGGGGTAGGGTCAGAAGGAGAAGCAGACTCCCCGCCAAGCAGGGAGCCTGATGCGGGACTCGATCCCGGGACTCCAGGATCATGACCTGAGCCGAAGGCAGTCGCTCAACCAACTGAGCCACCCAGGTGCCCCGCTGTTGGTATTTTAATAAGGATTGCATTAAATCTGAAGATTGCTTTGGGTAGTATGGACATTTTAACAATATTGGTTCTTCCAATCCATGAGCATGGGATATCCTTCCATTTGTTTGGGTCATCTTCAATTTCTTTCATCAAAGCTTTATAGTTTTCAAAGTGTAGGTCTTTCACCTCTTGGTTAAGATTCTTTCTAGGTGTTTTATTCTTTTTGGTGCAATTGTAAATGACACTGCTTTCTTAATTTCTCTTTCTGCTACTTCATTTTTAGTGTATAGAAATGCAATAGATTTCTGTATATTTTTATATCCTGTGACTTTACTGAATTTTTTTTCTCAGTTCTAGTAGTTTTTTGGTGGAGTCTTTAAACTTTTCTATAAATAGTATCATGTCATCTGCAAATAGTGACAGTTTAACTTCTTCCTTACTAATTTGGATACCTTTATTCCCGCCCCCCCCCTTTTTTTTGCCTGACTGCTGCAACTAGGACTTCCAGTACTATTTTGAATAAAAGTGGTGAGAGTGGACATCCTTGTCTTGTTCCTGATCTTAGAAGAAAGGCTCTCAGTTTTTTCCACTGATTATAATGTTAGCTATGGGTTTTTAAAAAAATATGACCTTTATTATGTTGAGGTATATTCCCTCTAACCCCATTTTATTGAGAGTTTTTATCTTGAATGGATGTTGAATCTTGTCAAATGCATTTTCTGCATCTATTGAAATGATCATAGGGTTTTTATCCTTTCTATTGTTGATGTGATGCATCACGTTGATTGGTGAATATTGAACCACCCTTGCATCCTGAGAATATACCCTACTTGATCATGCTAAATAATTTTTTAAAATATATTGTTTTTAGTTTGCTAATATTTTGTTGAGGATTTTTATATCTATGTTCTATAGAGATATTGGGCTATAGTTTTCTTTCTTTTTTTTTTTTTTGGAGTGTCTTTATCTGGCTTTGGTGTCCATGGCAATCCTGGATTCAGAATAAATTTTGGAGCTTTTATTCCTCTTCTGTTTTTTGGAATAATTTGAGAAGAATAGATATTAACTCTTCTTTAAATATTTGGTAGTTTCAGGGATGCTTGAGTGACTCAGTTGGTTAAGCATCTGCCTTCAGCTCAGGTTGTGATCTCAGGGTCCTGGGATCAAGTCCCACATGGGGCTCCCTGCTCAGCGGGGAGCCTGCTTCTCCCTTTCCCTCTGTCCCCCAGCTTGCGCTCTCACTCTGTCTCTGTCAAATAAATAAATAAAATCTTATGAAAAAAATTTGGTAGTTTCACCTGTGAGTCCATCTGGTCCTGGACTTTTGTTTGTTGGGAGTTTGCTGTTGTTGGGAGTTTTTGATTACTGATTCAATTTCATTTGAACAAACTGTAATCAGTTTATTCAAATTTTCTATTTCTTCCTGATTCAGTTTTGGAAGGTCATATATCTCTAGGAATTTATCCATTACTTTTAGGTTGTCCAATTTGTTGGCATATACTTGTTCATAATACTCTCTTATAATCCTTTGTATTTCTGTGGTATTGGTTGCTATTCCTCCTCTTTCATTTGCGATTTTATTTGATTCCCACCCCTCACACACACTTCATGAGTCTGGCTAAACGTTTATCAGTTTTCTTGATCTTTTCAAAGAACTAGCTCTTGGTTTTCTTAACCTCTTCGACTTTATTTTTTTAGTCTCCATTTCATTTATTTCTGCTCTATTCTTTATCATTTCCTTTCTTCTACTGGCTTTTGATTTTGTTTTTTCTTCTTTTTCTAGTTCCTCTGGGTGTAAGGTTAGGTTGTTTGAGATTTTTCTTGCTTCCTGAGGTAGGCCTGTACTACTATAATCTTCCCTCTTCAAACATCTTTCGCTGCATCCAAAGATTTGGGACCATTGTGTTTTCCTTTTCATTTGTCTCATGTGTTTTTTTTTAAATATTTTATTTATTTGAGAGAGAGAATGTGAGAGTTGAGGGGAGGGGCAGAGGGAGAGAGAATCTCAAGCGGACTCCAGGCTGAATGCAGAGCCTGACACAGGGCTCAGTCTCACGATGGCGAGATCATGACCTGAGCCAAAATCAAGAACTGGATGCTCAACTGAGTGAGTCATCCAGGTGCCCCTGTCTCCATGTATTTTTTGATTTCCTCTTTGATTTCTTGGTTGACCTATTCATTGTTTGGTACCATGTTACTTAGCCTCAATGTATATGTATTCTTTCCAGATTTTTTCCTGTGATTGATTTCTAGTTTAATGCTGTTGTGGTTGGAAAATACACATGATATGATTTCAACATTTTTGGATTTGTTGAGTCATAAGAATTTGGAAACATCCAAAATGTCTATTACAAAGGAATTGTTAATTATAATATCATTTAGTACTATGAGCCCAAGAAAAGGATGAGGTTAAACTCTACTGAAAGAAAAGGCTGTTTGTGATACATTGGTAAGGTAAAAAAACAAGTTACAGAATATAATGCATGTTATCAACCTATTATGTAACACAAACAGTAAAATATACAATAAAAGAATGTAATGTATTTATCATATATATGCTTGTATATGCATTAGAAAATGACCAGAAGGTTGTGCATTAATAACCTGACCACTGGGGAATGGGATTGTGGGAGGTAGGCTTATATTTTCTACTTTACATATTTCTCTTTTGAAGTTTTGTAATCACACTTTTAAAATAACACATTTTAAGCTTCACTTATACAGTTCTTAGTTTTATTTATTTTTTAAAAGATTTTATTTATTCATTTGTCAGAAAGAGAGCAAGCGAGAGAGAGCACAAGCAGGGGGAGTGGCAGACAGAGGGAGAAGCAGACTCCCTGCTGAGCAGGGAGCCCTATGTGGGGCTGGGTCCCAGGACCCTGGGATCATGACCCCCAGCTGAAGGCAGACGCTTAACTGACAGAGCCATCCAGGTGTCCCTACAGTTCTTAGTTTTAAAGCAAGGAATTAAAATGTCATCATGGGGACGCGTCTCTCTCTGACAAATAAATAAATAAATAAATAAAATCTTTTAAAAAAATAAAAAATAAAATGTCATCATGAATAAAAATTATTGCCAAAATATCTAGGGAAAAAAAGTCTCAAAACAATAAAACTCTGCTCAGTGCCACACACAGAAAGGATTTAGTAAGTCATGTGATAAACCAACACTCCTACTGTCAAAGAAGCCAAAGTTGAGAGAACCCTGGGACCCTTAATATCTGCTAGTTCTAGCTATTACCATCCAGATCCTTGCTTCCTGAAGGAGATTCATTGAGACTGAGAGATTAGAAATCAAAGCTCTATTTTATAACCACAAGAGGTTATTTTTTTAAAAGCACAACATATTTATCACTTGTTTTTAAGAAATTTTTATTAATGATTTGTTTTTAATCATTCATTTTTAATAAAAACAGGCAGATAGTTGATGTAAAAGCAGTGTATTATATATGAGAAAAACACAAAAAAGATTACTCTTGATGTAGTGGGAATCAGATCTTTAAAGAGAACACTCACTTATCTCTCAGATCTACTGTCTAGTATTGGGTAGTCAGCCTAATTCTTTTTTCTGTGTTAGTTTTCATTTTTGAAGCTCAAAACTATCTCAACATCTCTGGTACCAATGATATGTGAAAGCATAAACTACAAAGAAAGAGGGGTTTATCCTGGGGTTAAAATTTCAGATATTCTGAGATTCAAAGAGAGTCAGGTTTTGTAATGTCATAGTATTTTAAGAGGTTATGAAAAGGGCAGAAAGGATCGTGTCCACTCTTGGTGGATAGAAGAGCGATACAAAGGACAGAATCAAGCAAGAAACTACAGAATACCGTTGCACTGTTTTGGGCTGCTGAAAAGGGAGAAGCCAGTGAAAGCTTCCAAATGCTGAATTTCATAGAAGTAACCTCTTTGTCCTTCGGAGCACTGCGGCCTACTTAAATCTCGTCTCCAACTGCTAGCTCACATGGTGTACATGTTGACAAGGTCTTCAACCTTCCCCATGTAAATAACTTCTCTTTGTATTTACTCTCAGGGAGGTGGCTTTGTTCCCCTTGAAGCAGAAAGAAAAATAAAATAAAATATCTGAAGAAAAGAGGCCTTTTGAGTATGTTTATGTAAGCACAGAAGTTTTTAAGGGGCATGGAATGAAGAATGGATCTGACTGTTAAAGCTACATTAATATTCTTGAGAAAGACAGGTAATTAGTCTTGTTCCTTTGACTGCTGCTGATGTCAAACTAATGGTTTTTTTTATATTAACAGTATTGAAAAATGTGAAATTAAGCTTTGAAGCATTGATTCTAAACTTAGGTTTACATCATTAGGGTGCACACATCTCTGGCTGGAGCTCAATTATTCATTTCATTTTGGTTTTGTGGCCAATCACTGCTTCAAATTGAATGTTCTGTAAGTGATTTATAGCTGCCAAGGCACATTCAGGAAGAAATCTGTATAAAAAAAAAAGATGAAAAATTCTCAATGAAAAATTTTTGACACGGGAGTTCTTTTTTGTTGTCCGTTAAAATACGGAGAGTTGTCTGGTTTGCATTTAATCTTCCTGTGTTCCTCCTTTCTTCCTTCACATCTACCCCTCTCTCTTGTGTGTGTGTGTGTGTGTCTTTTAATACTTATAGTTCAAATACTGTGGACATATAAAGAAAACACTGATATATACCACTCTTCAAACCTTCTCATATTAGTGAAATCTTATAGGAGATTTCATATGATAAAGATCTGAAACTGAAGGTCTGGACTTATTTGCTGAAACTGTCAATGAATCCTGATAGGAAGCATTCACAGAAAGACACCACCAGAAATCCATCACTCTGTCTCTCCTTAAATATTTACTGAATATCTATTATACACCTTATAATAAGGTAGACAAAAGTACTCAAAAAACAGCCACGGCCTGAGCAGCTTACTGTTGAGCTGAGAGACTACGAGGAGAGGAGAGGTTGTCTCGGAACAACGGATGGGAAATGTCAGCCTTCTCTAACTAAGGGCTGTAACTGTGAGGAGGATCCATGTGCGCTGGAATAGTGAAGGAGAACTTCAGAAGTGTTCAAGGACGGGTAAGATTTGAGTAGGCAGATGAACGGAAGAGCATATGTGTGAATATAAGAAAGCAGATGTAACACATTTTGCAAAGAAAGTCATACTAAAAACCACTTTGGTGTTGTTGACTAATGCAAGATTTACATCCTTGCCTCAGGTTGGGTGGAAGAAGGATGGAAGCAGGGAGAAAGACAAGTATAAGAGAACTTGTACGGGCCTTTTAACTATCCTCACAAAGAAACCTCCATACTAGTAGTTGCATCTGCTCACAGAATTGTCTATCTCTGTAAAAGGAATTATATGTGAAGAAGATTAACAATAAGTGCCTGTTGTTGAGTAACAATCCATCATGACAGCTCCACAATAATACCAAATATTTTGAGACTCTTGTTTATTCTCTAACTCTGACAGTATGACTATGCTTAGTATCTTGTTCATAAGCAAATATGCTATGGTTTTTATTTTTTCAATATTAATATGACGTGTTTTGAGCCCTAAGAGAGGAGGAATCCCATGAAAATCCTTTCCTACAGTTGCTTAGCAGTAAGACATTTAGTCAACTCTTGAGATGATGTTGCCATGAGGTCGAGGTTATGCTAACTTAAGTTAGTCTACTGAAGCTAAAATGGAAGACTAAAACTGCTGCAGCAATGCAGCTTGTCCCCTGTTCTTGATTTGTTCTATTCCAAGGTAGCACAGTTTATGTGGATTGGTTTCAAAATGACCCAAGGTCTTGTGAAGTTATTATAGTTATCGTCTCATTGATACAATTTTAATTTATCATAAACTGTCCCTCAGAAGAAAGCTGAGATTATGTCCTCCGGGTAAATAATCCTATCTCTTCTTAGCATTTTTTAAAAGATTTTTTTTTTTTTTAAGTAATCCCTACAACCAGTGTGGGGCTTGAATTCACAACCTTGAGATCAAGAGTTGCATGCTGTACAGACTGAGCTAGCCAGATGCTTTTTTCCCTAGAATTCAATGTAAGTTCTGCTTCCTAAGTCTTTAATATCTGACTTCTGTGCTTTTTTAATGGCAGGGGCTTTACTTGCATTATGTTATATTTATGGTATGCTCAGAAAGGAGGTATTAGCACCATCTCCATTTTATATATGGAAAATCTGAGGCCACAGAGGTTAAATAACTCATCCATGGTCAAAGAACTACTAAATGGTAAAGTGGTTTTTCATCTTAGGTGGAGCCTTCATTCTTAATCACTTTATCATATTGTGTTCCTTTAAAAACAATCTTTGCTTCAGTTAGAACAGCCTCCAGCAGAGATGATATGGAAATCAGAGAGGTGGCAGAGAATATCATATAAGTACTGAAAAACAAAAAACTATCAACCTAGAGTTCTATATTCAGTGAACATATCTTTCAGAGCTCAGGGCAAAATAAAGAATTTGTTAAACATACACAAGGCGAAAGAATTCACAACCAGCAGAACTTCTCTGAGAAAATGTTAAATGATACTCTTCAGGCAGAGGGAAAATGATACCAGATAGAAGTCTGGATCTACACAAATGAATAAAGAGCACCAGAAATGTTAACCACATGGATAAACATTTAAGAACTTACCTTGTTATTTAAAGCTCTTTAAAAAGATATTCGCTGTTTAAACAAACAAAAACTATGTAATGTGCGTTTTTTTTTAAACATATTTAGAAGTAATATGTATGACAATCATAGCATAAGTCAGAGGGGAGAGATTGAAGTATACCATTGTAAGGTTCTTAGACAATACGTGAAGTGGTATAATATCATTTGAAGGTTGACTATGATAAGTTAAAGACACATACTATGAATCCTAAAGCAATAACTAAAGTAACAAAACACAGAATTATAGCTAGTAAGCCAAAAAAGGAAATAAAATGGAAACATGAAAATATTCAATTAAACCAAAAGGAGGCAGAAAAAGAGAAAAAAGAAACCAAAAATAAATGGGATAAATAGAAAACAAATAGCAAGCTTTAAACTTAGCTTTAAATTTAACTATGTCAACAATCATATTAAATGTAAAGAGTCTAGGGGCGCCTGGGTGGCTCAGATGGTTAAGCATCTGCCTTCGGCTCAGGTCACGATCCCAGGGTCCTGGGATCGAGTCCCGCATGGGACTCCCTGCTCGGTGCAGAGCCTGCTTCTCCCTCTCCCTCTGCTATTCCCTCTGCTTGCGCTCTCTAGCTCTGTCTATCTCTCTGTCAAATAAATAAATAAATAAAATCTTTATAAATAAATAAATAAATAAGTAAATAAATAAATGTAAAGAGTCTAAAACCCCCAATTAAAAGGGGTTTTAAAAAATTGGATTTAAAAAAAAAGAACAAGCTATATACCACCTACAAAGACACATTTCAAATATAAGGAGACAGGTTAAGAGTAAAAGAACAGAATAGGATATACTAAGATAACATTAATCTAAAGAAGCTGAAGTGGCTATGTTAATATCAGTATATTTTACAGCAAAGTATGTTTCCAGGGATAAACAAGTTATTTCCAACATGACAGAGTAGTTAATTCATCTAGAGGACACAATAATCCTAACTATTATGCACATAATAACAGGGCTTCAAAATATGTGAAGCAAAAATGGAAAGAAAAGTAAAGAAAATAGACAAATTCACAATTATAGCTAGAGATTTTGAGACTCCTTTCAATAACTGATAAAACAAATAGTCAGAAAATCAGTAAAAACATAGAAGATTTGAACAACACTATCAACCAATTTGACCTAAGCTGACATTTACAGAACACTCAACAATACAGAATACTCTTCTCATTCTTTTTGGGTGCATATGGAACACTTATCAAGATAAACATATTCCAAGCTTAAACATGTCTCAATAAATTTAAAATATTAAAGTCATATGAAGTAATTAAATTAGACATCAGAAAAATCTCCAGAAAATCTCCAAAAAGCTAGAAATTAAAAAATGCATTTCTAAGTAACCCAGGACACAAAAGGGAAATTAGAAAGTATTTTGAACAGAATAGAAATGAAAACATAACATGTTAGAATTTGAGAGACAGAACTGAAAACAGTACACAGGGAAACTTTATAGTATTAAGTGCCTATGCTGGAAAAAAAAAATCAATGGGCTCAGTTTCCACATTAACAAACTAGAAAAAGAAGGGAAAATTAAATGAAAAATAGTCAGAATAAAAGAAATAATAAAGATCAGAAAAGATATTAGTGAAGTAGAACACATGAAAAATAAAAAAAAAAATACATAGAAAATAAAATAAACCAAATGCTAGTTCTTTGGAAAAAAATCAATAAATTGATAAACCTCTAGATAGACTGAAGAGAATAAAAAATCAAAAAATACAAATTGCCACTACCAGGAATGAGATATCCTAAAGATATTACAAGTACAATAAGGGAAGATTATGAATAAATTTATGCCAATAAATTTGACAACTTAGATGAAATGGACACATTCCCTGAAGGACACACATTACCAAGAACAAATAAGTAGCCTGAATAGCCCTATAGGTTTTAAAGACATTAGATTTGTAGTTAAAACTTGTCTATAAAGAAAACAATAGGCCCAGATGGCTTCACTGTGAATTCTACCAAATGTTTAAAGAAAAATGCCAATCCCACACAAGCTCTTCTGGAAAAGAGGAGAGGAGGGCATACTTTCCAACTCATTCTGTGAAAATCAGACAAAGACATCACAATGCAGGGGTAGCTTATTCTTTAAAATTAATCAGTATAGGGGCACCTGGGTGGCTCAGTCATTAAGCGTCTGCCTTTTGCTCAGGTCATAATCCCAGGGTCCTGGGATCAAGCCCCACATCGGGCTCCTTGCTCAGCAGGAAGCCTGCTTCTCCCTCTCCCACTCCCCCTGCTTGTGTTCCCTCTCTTGCTATATGTCTCTCTGTCAAATAAATAAATAAAATCTTAAAAAATAAATAAAATTAATAAAATTAATCAGTATAATACACCATATCAACAAATGGAAGTGAAAATGGAAAAAAAATATGATCTTCTTAACACAGTTAGGAAAAGCGTTTGATAAAAACTCTCATCAAAATAGTAATAGAAGGGAACTTCCTCAACATGATAAAAAGCATCTATGAAAAAACATCTACAGCTAACATTATACTTAATTGTGAAATATTTAATACTCTTCTCTCAAGCTTAAGAGGAATACTTGGATGTATGCTTTTACCAATCCTATCTAACATTGCATGGAAAGTTCTAGTCAGTGCAATAAGGTAAGAAAAAAAAAAAAAAAACCATACAGATTGGAAAAGAAGAAGTAAAAGTGTCTTTATTTGCAGACAATATGATCATCTGAAATAATCTATAAAAAAATCTGTTAGAATCTACAAAAAACTACTAGAAATGAATTTAGCAAGGGTGCTAAATACAAGATCAAAATGCAAAAATCAAACACATACTAGTAAACAAACAATGGGAAATAGAAAACATTTTTTGAATGCCATTTGCAACAGCATCAAAACCATGAAATACTTTGGGATACATTTGATAAAAGGTATGTAAGACTGTATGCTGAAAACTATAAAACGTTGTGTAGAGATATTAAAGAAGAGGAAAAAAAAGGAAAGATATTTTATGTTCTTTGTTTTCGTGGATTGGAAGACTCAATGGTGTTAATGTCAATTCTCCCCCAGTTGATCAATAGATTCAATGCAATTTCCATCAAAATTCCAGCAGGCTTTTAAATAGACCCTTTATTTTTAATTACATTGTGTTCTCTTTAAACTGTCTTTCCTTCAGTTGGAATGGTTTCTAGCAAAGATTAAACTGAGATGGTAGATGTGGTAGAGAAAATGAATCATTCTTTTTTTTATAGACTGAAAAACGCAGTAACAGAGAAAACTTAACTGTTCTCCCCAGGCATGGGGCGGGGCCTGGGGGGGGCGGTTTCCACAGCAACTTTCACAGCTGAAAGACTCTTCATCATAATGATAGCACTACTGGTGTTTTAGCATTTTAGATGTTTTGTGCTGTACTTACTTGTCTAGTATTATATAGATATTGAAATATGATGGAACAAAAATCATCTTCTTATTGGTAAGTATTCCATCTATCAAGCTTCTTGCAACTCCATCTGTCTCCAAAAGAGGCCATAGTCCGTGATTAAGAAGAAAAAAGTTTGGTTCTTTTTGTTGTTGTTGTTTTAATTATAAAAGGCAGGAAAATTACCTTATCCTGTCACCAAATTAGGATTTAAAAGGTTCCAGGATTCACTGAACAAATGTCACCTGCTCCCACCCACCCCACCCGTGCCATGGGGATGTTTTGTTATCACAATCTTAAACTTTCACATCCAGTGGGCATGTTTCATGGCTCACTCAGTTAAAATATCAAAAGGGTGGAGGGGCGCCTGGCTGGCTCAGTTGGTTAAGCATCTGATTCTTGGTTTCTGCTCAGGTCATGATCTCAGGGTCCTGGGATGGAGCCCCAAGACGGGTTCTGTGGGGAGCCTATTTGAGGATTCTCTTTCTCCCTCTTCCTTTGCCCTCCTCCTGTTCATGCTCTCTCTCTCTCAAATAAATAAATACATCTTTAAAAAATATATCAGGGGCGCCTGGGTGGCTCAGTCGTGGCGTCTGCCTTCGGCTCAGGTCATGATCCCGGGGTCCTGGGATCGAGCCCCGCATCAGGCTCCCTGCTTGGCGGGAAGCCTGCTTCTCCCTCTCCCACTCCCCCTGCTTGTGTTCCCTCTCTCGCTGTGTCTCTCTCTGTCAAATAAATAAATAAATAAAATCTTCAAATAAAGTTAAAAAAATAAAAAATATATCAAAAGGGTAGAGAGGAATTGGAGATATAGGTGAAGAGGCTCCAGGCAAGGAAGAGTAGCAGGTGGGATTATTCATGGACAGAAAGGGAACATCTGACATCTTTCTTCAGGGCTTGTGGGATACAAAGCTATTGCCAAGCATACTTTCTTTCTTCTGGAGTTATCCCATAAAGCTGGATTGTTGTTGTTGTTGTTGTTGTTTTTGAAGATTTTTATTCATTTGTCAGAGAGAGAGAGCAAGCATGCACAAGCAGGGGGATCAGCAGGCTGAGCAGGCAGAGGGAGAAGCAGGCTTCCCGCTGAGCAGGGAGCCCGACTCGGGGCTTGATCCCAGGACCCTTGGATCATGACCTGAACCAAAGGCAGATGCTTAACGACTGAGCCACCCAGGTGTCCCAAAGCTGGATTGTTTTGAAGGCATTTAATTCCTGAGGTCCATCTCTGAATTGCCTATGCTACAATTTAATGAGAGTTCAAGATATGCACAGGGTGTATTGCATTCTGGAGGTGTGACCTTGCATATACTGAAGACTGTGTATGTGAGTTCTTGAGAAGCATTTATAACCACAGGCTCAGTATAGAATTACCACTAGTGCAAGATGATGACAAGAAATTAAAATGTAAATGGATTGAAAATGTTACATCAAAACTAGGAAGTCTGGGCACGGGTTGAATGGAAAAAGGTTGCATAGAAGAGTTAAGTTATAACTTCCTTCCCTGACATGTTCTGTGATTTACTACAGATTATTATGTGATTGAGGTTTCCATGGCATTGAGTAGCAAGCCAGCAGAGAGTAATATAAATCAATACCTTTCTAAATTATTGGGTTCTGCCTCTTCCCTCCCTGATTTTTCCTACCTGGTTTCTTCAACCCAGTATCTGAGCCAAGCCTAACATTAGTATATGAATATTTTAGCCTTTGCCAATGGGATTCAGAATCCAGCAGTCTGGGTCAATCTTCAGCTTTGCCTGTCAGCCCCTAGAGTCACTCCCAGGCATCCACATTACCTGGAATCACACTAGACTTACTCTTCTCATCTCTTGTGTCTTCCCCACCCAGTGGACCTGGTACACTTGGCCCACACTAAGCCTGAATGCTTACCAAGAAGGTTTTATTAGGCCCAATTTGCTGTTTAAGAAAACTGAGTCCAGAGTCCCAATCATACCACAGTATTTACTTAAATATCATGTACTTGTTAAGTGCCTATGGTCTAGCACTATTAAAAACTCCACTGCCAGGGAGTGACCACAGCTCCAGAGACCACATAGCTAATTCAGAGTTCAGAGTCAGTAGCTTCAAATGAGGCTACGTTTAAAGGAGAATTTGTTAGCTCTTTTGAATGAATATATTTGGACTAATTCCCCTTTAGTAATAAATTGGCTTCAGATGAGCAAGTTTAGTGTATTTTGTTAACCTGCAGCAGAATATATACCAGAATTGAGGCAAATTTGTGAAGGTGTCTGAATTTTAGGGCCCATCTCCTCATTTCTGCTTTTTTCCCTCTCCTTTCAGGATCAATTTCTCCTCTCTTATGGTTTCAAATCCTCCCTTACCAGAGACAAAGTTCTCATAGAAATTCATCTTGATTAAAGGGTTAGGGGCTCAATTTATTGCTGCTCCTAAAAGCATTTGCGTATTTATGGAGGACAAGGAGGTAATGGTGATCAAATGCTGGGATTATATTTAATACATCAATGTTTTCCAAACCTGTCTCCACACTTACCTGGCAGGTATGCTCGTAAAGCAAAGCAAAGCAAAACAAAACAAAACATCTCATTCTTGGAGCTCATCTCAGTCTACTCAATAAGAATCTCTAAGGAAGACCCATAGAGTGTTTATTTTCTATGGAAGCACAGGTGATGATTCTTAGGACCAGACAAGTTTGAAAAATGTTGGAGTACTTCCTGCTAGCACCATGGAAGATGGAAAAGGGGTGTATATTTGTACCTTTCCATACTCTGAGGAGGATGAACCATGAATGTGCGAGGGGGATGTTACATAACATTCATTTTTGGGGTGGGGTTTCTAGGAGAGGACACTCTTGGCATCCCTGAGCACACCTCTCCAGCCTGTCCCACCCCCTCTCATTCCCTCTTGGCACCTGAGTGTGTTGAACCTTTCACCTGGACACAAATAAACACCCAATTGCCTAACTCGTTGGCAGTTGGTCACTTCTGCCAGTCATCAATGCATTTCCCCCCTTTATTTATCTAATTTCAAAGTGAAAACTTAAAGGCAGTACAACATTAAGACGAAACATTTTTCCTTTTTCATTTTTTTCCTATTTTCTCCATTGATCCACCTAAAAATTTCTTGTACAGATTTCATATCAATTTCTCATGCCATATTTTCATCCTAACTTGACTTTGACCTCACTTTGTGCTTGGGTTTTTGGTGAACCCAGTATTCACAAAAACTGGGCAGAGACACGAGGTTTTGATTCCGGTTTTCCCCAAGGTTTCAAGTTCTAATGTCAGAGCTCTGTGGAAGCCGACAGCAGCAAATTTGCTGGAACTGTAAGAGAATTACCCACCATCATTGCTAGATTTCTGTAAGAAAGCAATGCTGATTTGGTTTGAGAACAAGTAGAAGCCAATGTCCCAAATCTTCCACTTGGTCATCAATTTTCATTTACATTTTCTTACATGATTTTACAGAATTCTGAACGTACCGATTTCTTACTTAGCAATGATAGCAATAGAACGAATCCTAGTAATATATTAACTGGCTTACTGCTCACTTTTCCACCCTAGTGTAAGGTTTTCCATTCAATCTTCAAACTGTTTTCTAATTAGTTTTAATTGCTATTTTTATTTTTAAAAATATGAAACAGGTAAAACATATGTAGAAAAACTATGTAATAATATCTACACTGAAACTTCTGTGGGACTCTCCACATTTCTCTTCTCTTTCTTATTGAGTTCCTAGTTTCTCTCTTTATCCTGGAGGCCTCTTTGACTTCTTAATTTCATTGTCAAAATCTGGAGTAAAAAGACTTTAGGTGGTATGGGTGTGCCTTTAGCATATCACTTTATCTTCTTTGATTTTCTCATTTTTAAATGCAGGTTATAAAATATACGGCTGTCTTGAGAATTAAATTGTATAGCATATGCCTTATAACTTCATTACCTAGAATCTATATAAATGTTCATTGTATTTTTGACCCAGGTGACAATAAAAACAGTAAAATTAAAGGCCAGCTGCTTTCTTAAGGAAGAAGCAAAAAAGGAAAAGTATTACATTGGGTTTCCACATTTCTAAACATTAAAACAATAGCAAATGTTTAATCTGTGAAATTCTTACTTGTGTTTTAAGAGGGTAGAGGCTGTTTGAAACAACCATGTGTGTGCAATGACCCCTGACACTGAAATTTAACTATAGTGACCACCTTCAGCGTCAGAAGTAATTTTGTCCATGACCCAGTTTAACCTTGAACATGATGTACAAGTACATAATAAATCTATTAATTACCCACACCCACATCTTCCCACTGATACTCATGTGTTGGCTGTTACAAAAGGAACTGGACCAAATGTTAGCAAGTTAAATTTTCTATGAGATTGATATGAAGCCGAAGTAAGCAAATGAGATGCCATTGGAGTTTACAAGGAAAAGAGATTTTGCAAATAGCGCATCCTCAGGGCTCCCAACCTTTTCTCTTTGTGTCCTTGGTAGATCATGGAGTGTACTATCTATATCGTTTAATCAGCTAGAGGCTTTCTCTCAATCTCTCTCTCTCTCAACACACACCATCTTTCATGGCACGAGCACAGTGGAAAATGTTTTGGTCCAGGGCTCACTCTGGTTAGCTAATGTTGGGTATGCAGGTGATGCACACGTTTATGTTCATTTGGACTTCTGTATGTTTTACTTCTTAGTCTGTGGTTCCCTGTTTCTTTTATCAACATGTACTCATTCCAGGATACAATGGAAACATACTTGGCATTACATTTCATTGCTCTATAAAGGAGCTTTCAGAAATCTAAAAATATTTTAACAATTACAACCAGTTTCATTGTTTTAGGAGAAGTCATTTTGTAAAAGTTTATTCTAGACTACTATGTAAATTCTGTAAGTAACCCTGCTACGAGGATTGGAATCTAAGCTCTAATAAACCCTTGAAAGAATATATATATATATATACACACACACATATATATGTATGTATATAGTTATATAGTTATATTATTGCTGGACAATAATACTTACCAATATGGAATAAGATAAGGAATCACTCCACAGCCACACACTGAAGCCACTGTGACAATGTGGCCATGATTTCTCTTCATCATGGACGGAAGAAGTGCTTTTGTGATCTTAAAGATCATTGCAGAAAGAAAAAAAAAATGGCACAGGTGTTAGGTTTCTAAATTAGGTAGTTCTCTTTTTAAGAAAAAAATAGCATTTGAGACAACTTTTAAGATGAAATGAAACACGTGTCAATATTCCATGATTACTTCCATATAAATGACAGAAATGAAAAAGATTGAAATGTATTTGTTTAAGGTGGCATTGAGGGCTGTGTACTAAATATTACATGCTAAGAACTCGTCTTAATATTTCCCATTCCTTCCTGGGGCGCCTGGGTGGCTTGGTCAGTTCAGTGTCTGACTCTTGATTTTGGCTCAGGTCACGATCTCAGGGTCATGAGACTGAGCCCCATGGTGGGTTCCGCGCTTAGTGCAGAGTCTGCTTGAGATTCTTTCTCTCCCTCTCCCCCTGCTCATGTGCTCTTGTGCTCTCGTGCTCTCTCCCTCTCTCTAAATAAATAAGTTAATTAATTTAAAAATCTTTTTTTAAGGATTTTATTTATTTATTTGAGAGAGAGAGCATGAGCAGGGTGAGGGACAGAGGGAGAAGCAGACTCCCCGCTGAGCAGGGAGCCCAATGTGGGGCTCAATCCCGGGACCTTAGGATCATGACCTGAGCCAAAGGCAGACACTTAACCAACTGAGCCACCCAGGTGCCCCAGTAATTAAATCTTAAAAAAAAAATTCCCCCATCTTCCCTTCAGAAGGAATCAAATATCTCCTTTATGGATATATCATCTGAATAATATCAAGGGAAAAATTCAGTGTTTTCAGAACTGAAAAGATCCCCTATGGTAATCTGGTATCGTGTAATTTTTTTTGGTTTGGGGCTTTATCATTCTAATGAGAAGAAATGAAATCTTGTGTAACTATATCAAGTTAAGTAGAAAAAGCTGAGTTTTGTCCTATCCACAATCATTATCCATCATGATTAGATTTAGTATCTCCCTATTTGTAACACTGTGTAGTATATATTGATGTTACAGGAAACAAAAAGTCATTCTTTATCTCCAAAAAGCTTTCACTGTTTTGAGAGAAATATCAATATTTTATGAGAATTTTATGAACACACGCTATGGACCCTATACAAATCCATAGAGCCAAAACTGCCAAACTAAGCCACTCCTAAATTTCTGACTCACAGAAACTCTGAAAGGAAAACAAAAACTTATTGTTGCTTTCAGCCATTAAATTTTGATATAATTTGTTATGCAGCTATAGATAACCAACATAGGTCTCTATGTAGTTTGGTGGGCATAATAATCAATCATAATAATCAATCCTCATTAGCACGTGTGAGTGATTGGTGCAGCTGCGGGGGGACACATCTCTTTTTCTTCTCTTCCAGAGTCCAGATTTGCTCTAGCTTCTATACTTAATATTGAGGCACTGGGAGATTAATCCATATAAATGCTTTCTACAAAGTCATATTTCAGTTTTCTGATAACTAATTATAAGAGGTCTGTAGAGCCATATATCTAAGTTCGGGCACAGACCTAGAGCTTATCTGAGTCCCATGCAGAGAAGTTCCTAATCCTGATATACATTCAAGTAGTGATTTATGTTGTCCTTTCAGTTCTAAAATTCCATGGTATGAGGTCACAAGTGAATGTATATTGTATATATTTCCTCTAAAGCACTGAAAAGATGTACACTGACAACCTTAGCATAGCCCCACAAATATACTGAGCACTTGGTCCATCTAGGCCATGTTTTGTGTTAGATTCCTGGATAAGAGAGACCAACGAGCCTACATTCTGGTGAGTTGTGTCCCTTCAAACTCTGTGCCCTTCTGTCAGAGACTCTCCCACTCAAATTAATTTGGTGATTCTTGATTTAAAGCAAATATAAAGGTGTGAACTTAACTACAAACTCCATGTACCTTAGGGGGAGGTGTGAGAAATGCACAAACCAGAAATGTTTCTCACACTCACCCAAAAGTGTCCTAGGATGTTGACCTCAAAAGTTTTGGTAATCTCTTCATCCTTGGTACTAAGAAGGTCAGCTGGATATATTGTCCCAGCATTATTCACCAGGATGGTTACATCTCCCACTTCTTTCTTTACCTTTGAAATGGAAAAAAACACATTCACTGGATGTGTTATAGAAACTCAAAGTTTTGGGGAAAAAAAAAAGAAAAGAAACTCAAAGTTTTGGGGCTGATGTCATCCAGGGATTAGATTCTTTAATCCACTTGATGAGATCTCTCCGAGTTCAGGCAGGAAAAAAACTTGTCTATAAAGTGAAATTAATATTGGTGTCAATTAATTGATATTATCAGTCCTGACCAAATATGTTCTTAGTGCTGAGTAATCTTGGTTCTACCACCTACTAGCCATGTGACCATGGACTGCCTAAGCCCTCTCAACCTCCATTTGCTTATCTGGCAAATGAGGTCAATAGGGTTATTGTAGAGATTCAAGGATGCAGTCGTTTATCAGAGTGCTTGGTTCACTGTATTTGATATCTACTCTTTTAAAAACTGTTATAATAACTATTAACAATTCATTTTCTGTAGAAGACTAGATTAGCAGCAACATAAATAAAATCCCCTAGGGAAAAAAATTACAGATAAAAAAAGAATTACTGCAAAAGTAATAGGACTAAATTGAAACTAGAAAGTGATCCTTTCTCCTGGGACTAAATCTCTTCTCCGTCACTCCGTACCACTGCTCAAATTTCTGATCAGAAAGAAACTGACCGATAATATGAAACAGTAAGAATAGGCAGAGTTGAGTGGATTCTATGCAAGGAAAAAATAAATGCCCTTCCTTCTTCATACAACTTCCTCAGTTCTAATCTAAATCAGGCAGCCAAAAAGAACCGTTACATTTTCTATGTCAATGGATACAAAATTATCTGAAGAAATTTGTATTCTGAAGTCTCACTTGCTTTACAGAGTTATAAATGTCTTCTCGGTTACCGCAGTCCACCACATACGTGTGCGCAGTGGCCCCCAGTTTCCTGCATTCGGCTGCCGTTTCCTCAACACCGCGCTGTAATTGGAAAAGACAAATGCAGAAGGAGGTAGGTCAGTTAGGGGACAAGAGTGGGAGAGAAAGAACTGGAGAAGAAGTTTCTTTAGATTAAAATTCATGTCCAAAATGCCCTCCTTGTTTGTTACGGAAGTTTCATGAGAGACGCTGCTTGCGTAATGGACCAAGAGATTTTACCTGGCTTTTCTGCCAGTGAGTGCTCCTACCGGTCACGTGTTTTCACCTTGTTTGGCTTCATTCTCAACAGCCATTCTGAGTCAAAGCGGAAACAAACAAACAAAAAAATCCTTCATGTTTCTCTAGCTTTTTATCGTGGGTTAGAGGGTTCTCCAGGAGGCGGTTTTTCTAAAGCAGGCGGCTCTCACAGCTAGAACTTGCTCGAAAGATGTTACTCTTTGTGGGGTCATGGAGATGTTTGAGGACACAGAAGAGAAAACTCAGTTTTTCATTTAACATGTATTTGTTGAGCACCAACCATATGATAGTAAAGCAACTCTAAACGAGTGGTAATTTTAAACTCTATGCCTCTGCCTGTCATAGGTTTCTCCATGATTCTAATTTAACCCTCTAGGAGGGAAGGAGAAAGAGGGATCCTTATTTGAGGAAGACTTTCATAGGGAGACAAACTACTCTTGGGGATATAATCTTGTGTGCAAGTGTTCTGGAGTGAAAATGGGGAAGGGCCACTGGATAGAGTCTCATCTATTTAACAACTTTGCAAGTATAATAACAACTTTATAGTAACTTAGTAACAACTCCAGGACAAGGCGATGGAGAAACTTATTTTCAGCCTAAATTCAAAGACCTTTTTTCCTAAGGTAAAATTGTCCTGATGTTTCTTGACCTGCATTTCTGGAAAATGAGAATTCTTTTCAAGTTTTGACCTCTGTTGATTTTTTTGACCTCTGTGGATTTATCTCAATAAAATACCACTTTTCTTCTCACAATTTATAGACTCTTCTCTGTGATGAAGAGTCAAGGACAGCTGCAAGCCCTTTTCTCACACTGGGATGTTAGTTGTGTGGCTGTTGCTTGGGACAATCCCTGAATGAGTGGCGGGGGGGGGGTTCCCTTAGCCAGCGCACGGCCTCTCTTGGGTCCTCCATATCTCACTACCTCAGGCTAAGCCCTGGAGCAGAAGCCTGAAATCCCAAAGAATAAAAGCGAACAGAAATTAGAACATGTAGTCACAGAGTTCAGTGCCCCCTCATAGCCTTTTGGGGGTTGCAGAGGAATGTGGAGGGAGGACAGGAGCTCTTTCACCAATTTAGGCTTCACCTGGTAGCTTGCTCATTGTCAGATTACAGGACCCACCATGCATTCTTTTGTCTCTCGATTCATGGTCAATAGAGAGCATTAGTAACCAGAGCTTTCATCAGAGGCTTTGAAGAATTAAAAATGTGTCAGTCTTATAACCCAGCTACAGAACTGCAAAATGTAATGCCTTGTCTTTTTGTAAGCAAAAGAGTTGCTTTAGCTTCAACTCCGGCTTGCACTGTTTACTCCACTTTTCAGAGTTTTCCTAAAGAAACAGTTTAGATTGAGGGCAAACTGCTAGCATGATTCATTAGGTAAGGCAAAAGAAGCCAGCCTTAACAAAAAGGGAGTTGGCACCTTCCACAGGTAAAGGAGATCTGAGCTACATTTGCAGCCTTAGAGTGAATCATTTAATACCTTTAATGTTTAACCATAAAATCCAAGGATTCAAAGAAATCCTGTGAGGTTAGGTGACTCATCCTTCAGGCAGAATCTTAAATAAGTCATTTTTATTCCTTGTCACTGGAACTTTAAAAAATGTAATAAGTATAATCCTCTCCCCAGAAACACACATCTTTTTTACTAGATTTTATCAAGTCTTTTTCATGGATCTATACTTATTTCTATCTTTTTGATGAATGCTTGAGAACAGCAGACAACAGTTGTCTCAATTTGTAAATTCTTGTCCTCTTCTAAAAAGTGCATTGGAATCTCTTCAAGGACCAAGCCGATGCCAAATCACTTTCATGTATATCAACTCATCTATTAAATGCCTGTGTCTGTTACACGGAAATGTATCAACTTTTCCTTGTATAGTATTCTTTAGTCTGGAAAGAACCAGAGAAGAATTACTTTTCTAAGTTCAAGTGACATTTCTTTTTAAAGATTTTACTTTTAAGTAATCTCTACACTCAATGTGGGGCTCGGACTTATAACCCCAAGATCAAGAGTCAACATGCTCCACCAACTGAGCCAGCCAGGCGCCCCCAAATGACGTTTTTGAAGGCTTTAAGAAATAGGGGCCAACTGGACGTGATAGCAAAGAACATCAGCGAGTAGTAATATAATGGCAATTAAGATCTCACTGTGATTTGTGGAAAACCTGATTCTTAAAACTTTACAATTTTTCCAATCTTAAAATCCTGTAACATTTTTCTGTGTATATTTTCATGGCCTTACCAGAATTCACGTTTAGGGGAAATGATACAAAATTTCAGTTATTTCAGTTTTGAGTACTAATATAGTGTTAACAAATAACAGTACAAGAAAAATATGAATGCTCAAGAGAAAGCCTGACCCACTGCTTGTGGGTTTTATTTAACACGACTAATGTTTACTATGGCCAGGCATTGTTCTAGGCACTTAAAATATTCACTTGTTCAATCCTCTTGCCCAGGAGTCCACAAACTATTCTGTAAATTGCCAAAGAGTAAATATTTTAGGATTGTGTGGATGTGAGGGGAGGCACTAAGAAGTTCTGTCGTATGTTCTTCTTTGTTTCTTTATTTGGTTTTTGCTTTGACATGCTTTTAATAATATAAAAAACATTCCTCGCTCAACACCCTACCCAAGGACCAGATTTGGCCCCTTAGCTGTAGTTTGCTGACCGCTGTTCTTGCCCATTCTGTGAGATATTATTTCCATTTCAAAGATAAGGAAACAGTGGGTGCCTGGGTGGCTCAGTCAGTTAAGCATCTGCCTTCAGCTCAGGTCATGGTCCCAGGGTCCTGGGATCGAGTCCCGCACTGGGCTCCTTGCTCAGTGCAGAGCCTGCTTCTCCCTCTCCCCACCCCTCCCCCACTTAGTGCTCTCTCTTGCTATCTCTCTCTCTAATAAATAAATAAAATATTTTTTCAAAAAGATAAGGAAACAGGAAGTTTGGAAGTGGCCTGGCTCTGAGTCTGTGTTCTCAACCTGCATATGATGGCATAAAAAAAAAAAAAAATCACTGCTTAGTTCTCAGTTATGTTCCCTTTGTCAAACCATCCCAATGCATATGTAGAATACGGCACTGGAGAGTTTATTAAACGTTGAAAAAGAAAAATACAAAGGTAAGCAGTTGCTAAGTTAAATAATTTTTACAACATATGTCTTACTTGTGACTTTAAAAGATGGGCAAGTGAATGCATTACCTTATTAATATCCCACAGAACCAGTTGGCTCTTCCGTTTTGCAAATTCATAGGCAGTCCACCTGCCTATTCCATGCCCGGCTCCTGTAATGAGAACAACCTCCCCAGCCACAGATTTTCTCCTTCGGGGAAAGAAAACCTTCACCAGTGCCTCCAAGTAGGAGTAGATGATGGTGAGCAGAAGCAGGAGGAGACCCAAGATGATATTCATGGCTCTGCTCTGTACTCTTCTCCTCTGGCTCAGTCCTTGTCTAATGCCAGCCACCCTCTGTGCAGAGATCCTGGAAAGAGCTGCGCTCCAAGTGTGGACGGGACTGGCAGAAGCCAGATTTGCCGCAGGCTTTGTCCACGTGTTCTAGTAGGTTGGAAACACCTGAGTTTGGAAGTGATGCAGTTGCTACCCCAAGCTTGGCACAGGGACAATGGAATCCTGGAGAAAGTGCTCTGTGGGCTTCCTTACTGAGAAGCAGTTCTGTGCTGTGTTGCACAGTGAAGTTTCACCTCTAGAAATAATTCTAGAGAAAGTGCATCAGCTTTTGGTAGTCCCTTGGTATCTCCCTGTAAACCATTGTGTGTGTGTGTGTGTGTGTGTGTGTTTAACTGAAGGAAAAGGAGAAAGAGATATTTTCTTCAGGAGACTTAAAGTATGGACCAACCAACCTTAGTGTGATTCATTTATTCATGAAGGCTCAGCATCAATATTTCAGTGAACTAATTATTTTACAGGAGATGCCCATTTCCCTGAAAACCTCTTAAGTTTGGAAGAGACTGGAGGTTATATAAAGCAATCAATTCCCTCTGTGATACTATGGGAATGAGCATTAGATCAGGAGCCAAGTCTCCACTTAAAAGTGGTGCGATTTCCACTTGATCTTAGCCAAAGGGCCGAGAAGCAATAAAAGTGGTGCGACTTCCAACACCTCCAAAGTAGAAACAACTCAAGTGTCCATGAACAGATGAATGGATACACAAAATGTAATATATACATACAAGGCCATATTATTCCTTTTTTTCAATGAATGCAATTCTGATAAATGCTACAACACGCATGAACCATACAAACATTATGCTAGGT